ATGCCTGTACACAAACATTAACACAACAATAGTTAAAAACATATTAAAATTCGTTACATACTACGCCAACAAAACCTTCATCCCACAAAATAGAAAGAGAGGGAAAACGAGCAACGAGTTAAACAGACGATGAAGGGGTCTTTACATTGTCATCCATAAGTCTTTCCCTGGCTTTCATGGCCTTCATCACAAAAACCGCTACCACATGGGTAATACGTGGGTTTGCATCAACTAACAAAAATTTTACTCTATCTTCAGGATTGGTTATAGAGTTGGGTATAATTTGCAGCAATGCGTCTCTAAAGCCCGAGTAGATGGGGCAATAGAGGAGGTAATGTGTAAGATCCTCTTTAATTTTCATAAGGCAAGGGCATAAACGATGTTCTACTGGGGTTTTTGTGAATCTACCGGTCAGGTATGCAGTTGGCAGTGTTTGAAACCGTGCCATAGTGAAAGCTCTCCGAAGGGTGGGATCAGTGATCTCCACCAAGTAGTTGGCACAGATTTTGACTGCTTTTACTCGGGAAACCAGTAGGAAAACCCAGAGTTTTTATCTTTGTGGAGTCCAAAAGGCGTCTTTTTCAAAGATCCATTCCCGAACTTTATCAGGGCTCCACAATTTAAGGATATTAAACTCAGGTAGATTGTATCTGGATAGGATATCTAGTAGGTTTTTATGCCAAGTAGTATTATTTTGTAATGATACAAAAGCTTGTTTGGCCAATAAGGTGTTCGGGGCATCTGTGAGGTTGGTGAAAAAGCGCAGGAATCTTAAGTGGGCCCTGGCAGACACAGAAGGTAATCCTACTTCCACTCTTAGGAGAGCTGCCGGAGTACTCTGAGGGAGGCCTAGAATTCTTCTGAGGTAAAAATTTTGGAAGATTTCAAGCCGTTCTAACAGCTTCTGATTCCATCCCCAGAGTTCTACTCCATATAGCATCTGGGGAATCACTTTTCCAACAAAAGCTTTTAATGCCGGGATCACCAGTTGCCCTCCCCTCGAATAAAAAAAGCTGAGCAGAGCACCGATTGTCCTACGTGTTAGAAGGGCTACAGTCTTGAAGTGGGCAAGCCAGCTAGATGTAGCTTGGAAAGTGATACCAAGATATTTAAAAAAAGGACACTGTTCAATTTTGTGTTCATCTAAAGACCATCTAAATGTGTGGCGAGCTCTAGTAAATACCACAATTTTTGTTTTGTCATAATTTATCTTTAGAGAGTTTTGGGAACAATAAGCTGCGAGCCCCTCCAGCATGCTATGTAGGCCCCTTCGAGTAAGTGCCATGACAGCCATGTCATCAGCATATAGTAATATGTTCAGGTGTTTGCCTTCCAGGGCAGGAGCTGATGACTTATACTTTGCCATATGTTGAACAATGTCATTTATATAGAAATTAAAGAGGAACGGCGCTAACAAACAGCCCTGTTTAACCCCTTTCCCCAGTGGCAGTGGGTCAGTATAGTTGCCTGACATCCCAGTTCTGATTTTAACTGTGGTGTCTGAATGTAACTCTCTAAGTATTTTGAGAAGTCGTCTATCAATATCTGTTTCATATAATTTTTGCCATAATTTGTCCCTACAGATTGAATCAAAAGCGGATGTGAGATCTACGAAAGCCACAAAAAGTTTGCTCTTATGTACCTTTGTATACTTATCTATCATTGTCTGTAGTACCAGACAATGGCCTGTTGTACTATGGCCCTTTCTAAACCCTGCCTGTTCCGGATTAAGCAGGTTAGAGTGGTCAGCCCAGTCAACCAGTTTATTTAGCAGGTAGCGAGTGTAAAGTTTATACACAATGTCCAGGAGACTTATGGGGCGATAGTTTGAGGGATCTTGGGGGTCTCCTTCTTATAGATGGGGGCTACCAGGCTCAGTTTCCAGTTTTCTGGGATTTTGCATATATCATTTATTACCGTAAAAAGTTGGGCCAAAATAGCAGCCCACCACTGGGCATTTAGTTTAAACACCTCAGGAGGGATCATATCCTCACCGGGAGCTTTGCCATTCTTGAGTGTTTTAATTAGCTGTAAACATTCTGATTCGGTAACAGGATCCCAGCCCATTAATAGATCGTTTTTAAGAGGAGGAAACTGGCTCGGTTTAGCAATGTTTGGAGCTGTATATAGCCGGGAAAAGTGTTGGTACCATAAGTTAGATGAGATACTGTTGGTTACAATTTTCCCTTTGGGTGAGACTCCCTGGGCAATTATTTCCCAGAACTTTTTGTCATCCCGCAATTTGATCGCTTTGTCAAGTGCCTCCCATTGTTCCTTTCTGTAGAGGGATTTCTTAAATTTTAGAGTATTTTTATAATGAGAACGCCACCTGTGCAGGTTTTCCAATGAGGACAGGGTCCCTTCCTGTTTTACCTTATTTTGTAATTTCCTGAGCAAAGATCTTAGATTCCTACAGTCTTTGTCGAACCAGGCCCTCGAGTTGTTATGTTTTTTGAGAGGGTTGGAATTCGTGAGTAGTGGGAAGAGCGACTCTGAGACCTGCTGAAATGTTGAAAAGGGGTCAGAAATAGATGAGATACACTGGTCTCTCAAGGCCAGTAAGTCTGATGAGTGCAGGTGTAATTTGATTTTAGATTCCAGGTCGCTGTTCCATTTACGCCTACGAAGGGCCAGAGTTGGAGGTGGGTCTGCACAGTGATTGCGGTATTGCGGATCCTCCACACCACGGGGAATTAGTGAAATTGATATAGGAAGATGATCACTCTCAATTCTATTGAAAATCCTGAAGCCCTGTGACCTCTCCAAGAGTTTTGGGGAGACCAGGATATAATCAATAACGCTCGCACCTCTAGGTCCAAGAAAAGAAAAGAAACCCCCTGACCTATCCTTATGGGTACCATGCAAGTTATACAAATTATGTTTGAAGGCAGTCTCCATTAATGTAATGCCTGCCTTATTCAAGACCTTATCGTCTGAGGACCAGGGAATAAACCAATCTGCCTCTGGCAGGAACTGAGATTTAGAGCAGTACGTATTAATGTCATTTCCTATCCTGGCGTTGAAATCACCTGCCAGCAGGATATCCATGCCAGGGAATTCTAGTTCAGCCTTCTCCAAACATAGCTCTAAATCTTCCCAGAGTTGTGACGACTGGGGAGGGGTGCCTATGGGAGGGATATATATATTAAAGCAAAGGAAATCTCCTCCTTCACTGCTAGAAATAAGTGAGATTTGTAAGTTGTTACTCTTCACCCACTGCTGTTGCCGGACCTTGCATTTTAGCTTGGTAGAAACAAAAGTGACTAAACCACCACTAGGTCGGCCTCGGGATTTTGGTTTTATCGCAGGGGTAGCAAAGGCTTCGTATCCCTGTAAAGAGGGGACATGGAGATCTAGACACCATGTCTCCTGTAGACATAAAATCTGAAATTTTGTAAGGAAATCCAGAAGGTCGACGTCACCCTGCTTAGATAGCCATCCCGCCACATTCCAGGATAGAATGTGGAAATAGGGTGATGGTGGAAATAGTGGTAGTCAATCTCTTTTCCGATGGTTTGAGGCTCCTGAGCTGGGCTCCTCCTCTATCTGCCCTGCTTGGTGGTTCCGGGTTTGAGGTCGCTGGTCCCTAGATAGGTGTGATAACTTTAACTGGGGGGCTAATAGGTTGATTTGGCCCAGAGGATCTTCGATGACATCGTTACAAATATCATGTTGTTCAGCTGATGTATCATGATGTTCAGCTGGTTTTCGCAGAGCAAGGATTTTGCCGACCCGTATAGGCTGTATAGATAGCAGGTCGACAACTGCATCTTGCGTCGGTACTGCTAGCGGGTCAAAATTTGACAAAAGCTGTGGATCTTGATTGCGTATTGGGCTTAGAATAATGGAAGCCTCCAATTCCGGCATCGAGGCATATGAGGACGAGAGCATTTCAGACTGGTCTTGCTTGGGTAGTCCAATGCCAGGCTCGTTGCACGTAGAGACCAGGGTACCAAGCGGGGGATGTAGGAAATCAATTAAGTCATTTGCGGGCAGGCTTGCCACTCCCTGTGGGGTAATAGATCCCGGCTCCATTCCCCCGTCTATTTGTTCTTTATGGCGCACAGGCCCAGCATCAACATCGACAGCACCTATCCTGGTGCATAGCGGTGTACGGGTCAGATTGGTGAATACCCTTGTAAAATAGATGTACCATTTTCTTGTGCGGTTTCTTAATTTTAGAATCTTTGCAACGAAATGGGCAGATCTAAAGTTAATAACCATACGTCTCATATAGGGTCCAGAAGGCAGCCATGAAATGTCCACGATATCTACGGGGCGTAATGTCTGCCCCAGCAGTTGGGTCAGGGAATTTGTGACCGAATGTTTATCCGCCCATTTGTTATAATTCAAGGGGTGGTTTCCCACCAGTACTGCAAGTTTGCTGTTCTGGAGTTGCAGACTTGAGTTTTGTACTTGGTTGGGCAGGCATCTCACTTGTTTTTGTGCAAGGTTGGCCTGCGCACTTGGGCAGGGGTGAGCGGAGTTTGCAATGTTGTTAAACTGAAGAAGTGAGGGGGGGCAACTGAACAAGCCAAAGGCTTTTTCAAGCTTCTTTTCGATCCCATCCAGCCTTTTATATAAGTTGGTGATGGTATGTGTTATCAACTCAGTCTGGCAGATTAGCAGTTCCAGTGCCTCTCGGTCCTTGTTTAACTGGGCTGGTGACTGGGATAATTCAGGTGAAGTTTTTTGCAGGGACTCAAGAGTCTGTTCCATCTGTTCCTTCATACACAGGCTCGAGGCTAGTTGTGGGCCATCCACAATGCCGGCAGGCTCCTCATGAGTAGTACTGGGAGCAAGGACCTCATGGCTGTTTGCTGTGGGGAAGTTTCTACAGATCTCATTTAGGTCATTGTCAGGCAAAAAATCCCTGATATTTGTCTGTTTTTTGGCAGTGCTCGTAGCTTCATTGGAATGCTGCCTGCGGCGTTTCTTCCCTCTCATGTCGGCAAGAAAATAGGGAGAAAATTTCTCAAAATAATAGGGTCAGGGCAGGTTGTGCTGTTAATGAGCCCTACTCCCTTTAACAGTCTTTATCTGCCGTGTTTTCTTGCAGATTTATGGGAGAAGTAGAAATAATCTAAACCATAAAACTTCTAAAATAAACGCCTTAAGGCATCTTAGAGCCCTTAGAACCCGTCAAAGCAGATAATAAAAATATAGCTTTACCGAGCATAAGACAAGGCTGCCGCTCACGTCGCCATCTTGGAACCCTCCCCTTGTTATCATTTAAATAAAAATCCATGAGGTTTATCATAAATCAGCAGAGATGGCATTTCACAACACTGATGCCACTAGTGGAAAAGCTGGCCTCCAATTCATTGATTGATTGAATTTATATACTCGCCCTATACCCGGAGGTCTCAGGGCAGTTACCACAACCTGGTAATCATCACCCTGCTATTATAGCCATAAAGTCTGCTTATAGACTTTGTCTCAAGATGGAGAATGACTATGGGATTAGATTAGTTTCTCCTAGTGTCTGTTTACACCCAGTATTACAGGACAAAGAAGTAATTTGTGGAGCCCCTTTTTAAAAACTTTAAAATCCAGCAGTTTTCCAGATCTGACTCCAGCCTTAAGCAAAACACACATATTGCTGGTTAGACAGAGAGTATGAAAAGTGATGTAACTTCTAAACTGAGGGACAAGCATTTTTAAAATCTACACATGACGTCCTACTACTTGTGAGGTAAAAATAGCTATCCTAGGTGTGCTTTCTTTTAAGTTCCTACACTTTGCTGTGGCTATTAAGTTTTTGTAAATAACGTACCATTGTCATATGTTGCTATACTTAGTAATGTTATTTGTATCTTAACATCTAAGTAACAGCCTTCTGGTTCCATTCATCAACAACTACTGCTCTGTAACATCCCTTCATTTTCATGGAAATTGTGGGGGAATATTTTTGGATCATGTTGTTCCGCAAAACATGTAATTAACCTGGAGGCAAAAATATGCAGTCAAATAGTGCCACAGAATTAGCAGGGTCAGTTTTGTATTTTAAGATATACATTTCTCCTTCTTGGTAGGTTTCATTTGACTCAACAGGACTAATTTCACTGTTGTTTGGATTCTGTTCAAGTTAGCATTGTTTGTCTGACTTCTTGGAAATAATACGTTTGTTCTAGCTACTGAAGTTTTGTTATTTGAGTGAGTTTCTATAGGTCAGTGAATAAATAATAAATAATAATAAACTAGGATTGCAAGAGTGTTTGAATTCTGCTTGAGTGAACCTTCAAACTTACTGCTAAAAAGTTAACTAGGAAAAAATGTAGTTCTGACTGCTTTTTTCATAGGAGAAAGTTTTCCAGTTTTCAAGCTTAACATGACTATATTGAGCCCTTCGTTCAGAGAAGATTTGGCTTTGTCATGCCCTTATTGCAAAACTGCACAGAATCTGCATTGTGTATAATACAGAGGCTCCTATATGCTATCTGTACTACTCCCTTTTTTTGTATTTTTTGGGATACTATAGAATCATAGACCCTTGGGGTCCCTTCCAATTCTACAGTTCTGTGATTCTGTAGTAACCAACAAAATACAAACAAGTAGTAGTACAGATAGCATCTAGGAGCCTCTGTTGTACACATTCTTCATTTAAAATACAGAAGAGTTCCATAGTTTGAATGGAATACATGCTAAATGGTAGAATGGCAATTTTATTTCAGACTTTAAAGACCAGTCTCTTTTTTCTACACGTGCACAGGATTTTTAAAATAAGTGTATGCTCGCATGCATGAAATTATTTGAACTTCTGTAGTTTACATACATAGACATTTTCATAAAGTTTAACATGTACTCCCTATGTGGCTCAACTTGGAACAGGCCAGAAATAAATTCTCATTCAGCGATACAGACTTAAAATGTAATCACAAGCATACTTACTGGAGAGTAAGCATTATTGAACATGATGAGGCTTGCTCCTGAGTAAATATGCATAGGTTGCTCTGTCATAAGCAATGCAAGCAACTTTTGTGTGTATGGGAAAGAGGAGACATTTATTTGTGGTAATAACAACTGCAAAGGCCTGATCTTTGGGTCCTAATCCAAATAAAGATAGTTTGGATTAACTTCCACTGAAAGCTGTAGGACTAACTTTGTTGCTACTAACTCGTTTCCTTGGTCTCAACGGGATAGTCAAGACTAATTTTAGCTGATTGAGACCTTGACAATTGCTTCCTTTTTGCGCGGGTTCCTAGAAGAATGAATGAGGTACATGAGGGGCTACTGGGGGTGGGGAGAAAGAAAGGAATGAGAAGTCCTGTTGCTTGAACAGAGGCCTTCACTTTTTTGGGTCTTGCCCACTGTGTTCAAACACTATCTTTCTTAGGTAGGAAAGAATTAACTAAATAAGTAAAAAATATATATCATTGGTTGCGGGGAGGGAACTTACCAGTTCAGTTCCTGACTTCTAATATTTCTGTTCCAGGTTCAGCACTTCAAGACAAACACTAATGTGGATTCCGGACTCCTTTTTTTCCAGGTATTTTGAAGCCAGATCTTCTGGATATTTACTCAGTCTAAGTTCAATAAGACTTACTCCCCGGTAAATCTTCAGTAGCTCCCCCCCCCCCCCATTGACCAGTGTGTCTTAAGTGTGTAGTTCACCTAGTTTGTAGCTTTGTAGCCCAGTTCATAATTAGGCTAGTGTTCAAGTCTGAGGTCTAACATTTCTTATCAGTTTCATGTTATGGGTATGTTACATAATAAGCCCTTGTGTGTTGAATTTACACATCATAGTGATCTCTGAGGAAATACTTTCTCAAAATTGTCAGTACAATGTGAGGGTGGAACCACATGTTTTATCAACAAATGCATGTTTACAAACCTGCATTTCTGAGAATGAATGGAATTGGTGCAGAAGAGCATTTTTAGGGAAGAAGTGGAAGGATAAATAGGGGTGGGGTTCTTAATTCCTCCTATACCCACTAATTATTTCCTGCAAATGCCCCTACATAAGCTTTATGGCAGAAGTGTGGGACTTAAAGCCACATGTTTCTTTGATGTGTGATTTTGGAACTGCATAGAAAAACATACTGTTGGTAGATATCATCCCTCCTTTATGAGAGCAGAGAAGAAACTAGGAATCTTCACCCAACCCTTCTTACCAAGTTATATTGTAACATAGCTTTATTTGTTTTCAGTTTGCTGAGTGGAAGAATTTCAACACTGAAAGATGAAACTGGTGCTGTGAGTATTCCTTTCTAAAAGAAGATTATGATGTGAAAGTTGATTACTGTATTGGGTTTAGCTTCTAAATTGTATTCTAAATTGGTGAATTGTGCACTTTTGCAACATCTCTAGTTAGAATGGGGAGACTCTTTCAGTCTTGTGCTCAGTTGAATGATAGAGACAAATTGTGGCTGCTGGTAATTGTAGGCATCATGAAAATGCAAAGTTAGAAAAGATCACTTTTTTAAAAAAAATGAGGGCATATTTTTGAATTTGATTTTGTAATATTTGTAGGGCTAAACAATGG